GATGGAAAAGTTGTCGTTAATAGTCCTGGGGATAGGAAGTGTGTTGGGGTGGTAGGGAAGCACCAAAGGAATGCGGTTGTTACGGCAGGAGTTCCTGATTGAGTTGATGGTCTGAGGGGTGTTTTTGGCTCAGGCAAGGGCCCTGTCAATAACACTGCTAGGGTATCCTCTGTTGATGAAAAAGGAGTACATTTTGAGGGCTTGGTTCTGGAAATAGATGTCATCGCTGCATAATTATTATTGCATATTATTTCCAAAACCGAGTTTGAGTAGATAGATATTGAATAGATACATGGATATGATAAAGAGGCTCTATTTTCAGTTTACTCTTAAGATTTGGATTTTGAGAGACTACCATCTTACTGATTAATGCAAATTCAAGCCCTAATAGAATCACATTGTAAGACCTTCAAAACTATGATGGTCTATGAACTTGAAAAAATAATAAAAACATATCTTCGGTTCTTATATGCTGCTCTTTGAGAGAAATCTATATGGCTCTACCTCATGGCACGACTCAGCTTCTCATAGGTCATGCTACTGTTGTTTTTCTTCTTGCCCCAGAGCTGTGCTACGGCCTCTGACTTGAGGAAACGGAACACCCCCTCAGACCTGTCCTCCCACTTAATTAGCCCAGGGTTCCTCTCAGGATTCAGCAGGATATCCCGGATGAACTCCCAAAGGTGTGTCCCACGAGGATCTGAAGGGGAAACAGAAGAGAAGCTCCATGACATACTTGACCATCTCTCTTATTTTAAATATATTTTGTAGCTAGAGAACACTTGCCAGAAAATATTGTATACAGGAATATATGCTGCTGGAAGCTGATGAGATTCAAAATCTAGGCCATGAACAGGTAATCACATTAATTTTACACACTGCATTATTTTAAAATGCAGTGCACAGGACATCTGTTTACATTCTCAGGAGAGTGATTTATTATCATCATAAAGTAGATTTTTCGTCTCGTCGTCTTAACGCAAAAAACAGGCCCAGGTATACATAACAGATGCTGAAGCTTGATAAACCCAAGTAATCCAGGAGTATCAATGAGGGCTGAGAAATTAGACTTACTGTGTTTTTTCATCTGTGAAGTCTGAGGTCTGCTGTGAAGCTTCTTTGTATCTGGGAACATGAGAGAGGACAATAAAGAGACAATTAGACTCTTTGTGCAATGCAAATCTCCCAGAGCTGCATCCTGTGGATCCTGAGAGCTGTCAAACTGCAAATGTGCAAAAAATGTCTTTAAAAAGTCTTTGTACTGTATATTAGTTTTTGTCACATCCAAATTTACCTTTGCCACATGAGAATATCAAACTTTGTCTAAGACATTGATAAAGTGAGCTTAGATGACTCATTTAAAATAAACTTTGATAAATGAATCAGAGGACACAAATGGAAAAATGCTGGAAGTTCATTTAAAGCTGATGGCAGGAGTCATAGTCGCCACAAAAGAATATTTGGCTTTGGCTTCTTTTATGAAACAGCAGGATAAGATTTGTGGAATTCAAATACTCACTCCCAGACGGGCTAGATTGGTTGTAGCCTTTCTTGACATTGTTTACTATACAGTACATCACACAATTAGATAGTTTTCTTGGATGACCCACCGCACTGAGTAGGGAGAAACAAGGAACTGAGAAACTTGCCATTTTTAAAATGACTCTTCCAATTCACACTTATGGTTTTGTTTGTATGGCTGAGCTGCTACAATAAAGAATTTAGGTCTTCACCTGGTGTTTCATCTCCCTTTTTAACATAAGAACTACAGTATGTGGATTCACAAAAAATGAATGTACTGTTTATTTAAATTTAGAGTCTGCTCATATTTTCTCTTTAATAACTAATTTAACGGGGAACTGCAGTCCTAATTTCTCAGATCGGTGATTACTGTAAATCTCGGTAACAAATCAAATTAATTGACTGTATCAAAACTTTACAAATTCCGCATTAAGCACAAAATCCTGAAATATGTGAAATTACTGTATGGCCGCCCTTTTCCATTCCGGGAGAGCGCAGGAGCTTGTGCAAATTGTGATGTGAAGCGGCCCTTCCTGATCACTAGTCACCGTAATGACTACTGTAATGTGATAAACGAGCGAATAAGGTTGTACTGCAGACATTTCAGCACAGAAATGTTTCAACGTGATCTCTATGTAGATTTAATGAGTAAGCAGTATTTGTCGGCAAAACTGTCTCAAGGTTGAGATGTATGCAATAGGGCCTTTTCACATCTTTGGAAGTTTTGTTGCCTTGCTCTGAATTGTAGAATACTGTATGGCACTGTGCATACCTGGAAATTTCATGATGTAAACAGGATGTTTTACATGTTACTGTGTACTTTTTACTTTCATTGTGGTTTGAAATGTACTCATCATTGCTGTTTCTTTCTAAGTTAATAATATAAACATATCATATCAGTTCCTCTTTAACTGCTTCCTGCTACTCAGGTATTTTTCTCTGCTATAGCCCTAGGAGGTGAGATGAGGACACCATTCATGTGTCTTTTGAAATGCACCTCTTCAGGCCACGTGTTCTCACTTTACTGAGGAGCAAGAATGGAGAGTCATACAAAGTGGAATTTAGAATCTAGATAGGCCTGCATGTCCAAGCAGACAGAGTTTGCACATATAGGCCATGGAGAATAAGAAATAATCACCAGTATGAAATATGAAAAGTATGAAACATAACTTTGCTACTTGTTCTGTATTCAGAATTTTCATGAGACATCCAAAATCAGCTAGACAAACGAGGTGTATGTTAATGGTGGTCAAACCAAGTCCCACATTTGTGAGAAGATTTGTGAAAAATAATAAAATATTGACCTTGCATGTAACAACATGAAACTTTAACATTGGCTGGTCTGAAAGCAAAGTTTCAGGATGGTGAACAGTACTTAGCCACAGGCTTGCTCAAATTAATTGAATTGCCCAGTAATTCATTAGTCTTTTGGGCTCTTGAATTCATGTTATTGATGTTATTGAACTGTAAGATAACAGAGTTAATTACTTCTTACCTGTACCAGGAGAAGCCGGTGTTGACACAGCAATCGAAGAAGGAAATGGATCCTTGGTTTCGAAAAGATCTGCAATTCAGAAATCAAGAAATGTTTCAGGTTTGTCTTTCAATTCATTTTTAAATGTAATTGTCAACAGCACTTACTGCATCATACTGTAACAAAATAGATCTGCCTCTTACACATGCTTATAACACATCTAGAATTATGTTGTTAACTCATAATATGATGTGAGCAACCTAGTTTGTATTCTAGTTCAAACTGATTGCTTTTTTATGTATAGACCCCATATAGCATACCTGTGTTTGTGCAGCTGTAGAAGCAGCTCTCCTCTTTGTAAGGAAGAATGGAGCATGAAAAATCTAGAAAGAGAAGTGAGAAGCAGTGAAACCCTAATGAGTTAGAGAAAAGTCCTTGTGCATGAAGGTGGATGGACTTCCAGAATGTGTTAAATTTCCTTTTAACCAGTGCTGGAGTATATGAATTATCACCATTCTGTCTGTTTTGAAAGTCTTTTGAATCTTCTTTTTCACACATTTCTAAGATCAAGGGTTCTCACTCTTTTGTGGCTTCATATACTGTACTATATTTTACTTTCAATAAGGACCTTCAGTTTAAACAAAAAAAATTCTGCTTTGATAAGAAAAGCAGAAATGCCGGTCAACCACTAATGCTTTCAAAATAGACCTGTCATGTGAGCTACTAGTCAAGTGTTTCAGCTACTACGTTTGGTTAGAAAATGACCTCTCTGTTTCCAGAGATCACCTGGATAGTCTCTCAGGCCAATGATCTGTGGTATATATTGTGGGAGAAATAATTACTCGAATCACAGTCACATCTCAAATCAATTTATACTTACCGTCTACTTCTGTCTTAATGTCCAGAGGTGCAAAGAGCTCACTGCCATACTGACCTACAAGATCAGAAAAGATACACTTTGGTTGGCAGGTTACAAAATGGACAAATATGTGACATTTTATCATATTTTATTCTGTGATCAATTTTGCAGACATTGAGATGTTAAAGAGTTCAAAGAATATGAAGATTAAATAACATATGATTTCTTTATTGATTAAAATATTTCTTGACAAAAGAAAAGTATTTGTTCTTTCACAGATTTTCCAGACAAGACACGGGATGTTCTTTTTTGTGTTCACTCTTTTTAATTTTTAGTTTCTCCAAACATACCATACCTGAATTCTTCAACTGAAGAGTTCTAAAGGTAAGATAAGTTACAAATTTCAGCAAAGACTAAAGAAAAAAATGAACTATGTTAATTGTATGATGTTTTCAGACTCATAAACTCAATATTTGGTCGAAGTATCTATGGCAGATACAGCCACAGGTCTTTTTGGTGTCTATTAAGTCTCTATTAAACTCTCTCAAGTTGCTTAGGGATTGCTTATAGGCAGAGTTTTCAATAGGATTCAAGTCAGGATTTTGAGTGGGCCACATTCTTATTACTAACTCACTCCAATGTAGCTTTGGCCATGTGGGTCCTTCTGAAAGGTGCATTTAGTCCCCAGGTTTAGGTCGGAAGCAGAGGTTTTCCTCTAAGACTTGCCAGTGTTTTATTCTATATTCCCAACAGCCAAGATGAATCATTAGCTGCATACTTGAGGACCAGTATTGCTGGGCAGTGACCCCTACAGTGGGCCAGCATCACACAATCTCTGGTCTACCTGATGCTACAGGATGCAGGAGAAGTTTGGGACTGCTAAGTTTTTCTGGTATGAGCTTTACCCTTTAGGTACCCAAAATGGGCAGTTTAATAGTTGCTTTTCAATTATTCACAGACTGAGATCTCAATAAGTGATTTGACAGATCAGTGGGGAAATGAAATCCAAAGGAACCTCAGGCCCTCACAGATTTCCCCAGTCCTGATTTAAAATATCCTGTATTTTTTAATTAATTTTAATGGGTGGGAGCTGTCTTCCTTCCACAGTGCTGGTCCACATACCATTCCACCTGAGCTCTGTGAGGCTCTGGTAGAGCAGGGGGCCCACGCTGCCGGCTGCCCTGGTGAAGTCCTGGAAGCTCATGGCACACAGCTGCCGGCCGTCAATGTCGAAGTTCTGGAATGGGATGCTGGTGGCATCGATTTGGTGAACGTCCAGTGTCTGCTGGAGCCACTCCCACACCTGGAACTTAGTCCAGTACTGAGGCTGGGTCTCCTGCTGCCACAGTCGGCCTGGGAAACCTGAGGCTACAGTTGGCACTAGGAACAATAGAGTTGGGTATTACTAATCATCCAGTGTGTCTTGCAAACAGCCACAGAGCACATCCAAGTTAACTTAATTATTCTCAGAGCAGCTAAAAGTCCCCAACGTCTGTTTAAAATGCAACAAATATGCAATTCAGATTCTATAGACATTGTTAAATTATTGGGCGGTGCTCTGTTCACTGATCCTTATTTAACTATGGACAGTTTGTCCATTTTGTTTTACATTAGTGAGTATATGCACAACTTGCAGCCAGATTTCAGGCCCACCGAATCACAGAGCTGGTATGAGCACCACTTCTATTTTCTCAGGTACATTGAATTATGCTTGCATGTACTGTATCTTGGACACAGATGTACCTGTTCACATACTCATGTAATGTGTAATGCCACACTTAGGAAGTCTGTTTTTTGAGGATGAATGAGAGAACACATTCGGGCTTTGAACCCATACCGTCTGTGCTGGTGTAGTGTGAACCCCAAGGTCCGGTCAGCTGGCTGTCTACACTGGCGCTGGAGGGGATGCTCATGATACAGCTGGTGTTTCGGACCATGGTCCAGTGCTGCTGAAAGAGTGAGACAGGAAGGATTTCAGGACCTCTGCTACACCCCCTACTGCAATAATAAAATAATCACTCAAAGTTAAATCTCAGTCTGGAGAATGGTGGCAAATGTATTACTTTTGAGATCATAAGAAGATCCTTCATACACAAGGCTGTACAAAAAGAAAAAATATGATAAAAAGAGGGGTCTTCTTTTATGAGTAGGGAGACAAAAGGGGGCATTTTTTCACAATTAGGTGAGGGCAGTAAGCAAAGTAAGATTCGGGCTCCATTGTTTTAGCTAAGCACTCTAGAGGGGACAGATTTAGGAATGAGTGAGACAAATAAACATCACAGCAGCATTCTTGTGCAGTACAATGACACAGTGCAGTACACCAGAGGCAAGAGCAAACTTGAAACTCTGCAAGTGCACACTCTTGCTGATTCTGCACAAAGAATTTAACATAATTGCATTTTAGTTTTACTTAAACACTTTCAAACATGCAGAGAAACAGT